AGAATCATGACCCGAATGACAACCAGGCCTCCCCGGCGCCAATTACAACGGCTGAGTGAAGTACCATCTGAAAGTCTCATTGAGAATGTGAATGCAGCATTGAGAACGATCCCTACCAACACCATAACAGAAACCAATGAGCTGATCTACAACTCAGCATCAGTGATCCTTGAGATACTTGGCTATAAGAGCAACCATGAGACCCAATACCCACCATGGAAAAGACGGTTAGAGGCTAAAATCAAGGTAACAAGGAGGGAAGTGAGCCAACTGTCAGAGCTCCACAAGGGTGCAATGAAAAGACCAGTACCCAGAAAGTACAGGCAGATGCCCATACCTGAAGCACTCGAGACTGCCAAACAGAGGCTCCAAGCCTTGTCCAGCCGCCTAAAGAGATACACAAGGGAGAATGAATCCAGAAGGATTAACCGGCTCTTCTCCACTCAACCAGCTAAGGTGTACTCTCAATGGCAGGGTAACAATAACAACAGAGCAGACCCACCAAGGCTGGAGACGGAACAATACTGGAAAGGCATATGGGAAAGGGAGGCGTCCCACAACAGCAATGCACAGTGGCTGATCTCTCTACGAGAGGACCACAGCAACCTCCCTGAGCAAGCCCCGGTAACCATCACTGTGACAGATGTCCAAGAAAGAGTCTCAGGTATGAAAAACTGGACAGCACCAGGGCCTGACATGATCCATGCCTACTGGCTAAAGAACTCACTGCTCTCCATGAGCGAATGGCAGCCCAAATGAACCAGCTGCTACAAAGTGGGACTCACCCTGAATGGTTAACTGAAGGGCGGACAATCCTAATCCAGAAGGATCCATCAAAGGGTCCAGTCCCACCCAACTACCGACCAATAACCTGCCTCTCCACAACCTGGAAGCTCATGTCAGGCATCATAGCGGCCAAGATAAGCAAACACATGGATAAACACATGAGCACGGCACAGAAGGGTATCGGTGTAAATAGCAGAGGAGCCAAACACCAACTCCTCGTAGACCGCACAGTTGCCCGAGACTGCAAAACCCGACACACCAACCTGTGCATGGCTTGGATTGATTACAAGAAAGCCTATGACTCAATGCCGCATACTTGGATCATTGAATGCTTAGAGATGTATAACATCAACAGGACTCTGAGAGCCTTCATTGCAAACTCGATGAGGCTGTGGAAAACCACCCTTGAAGCCAACTGCAAACCACTTGCACAAGTGTCCATCAAATGTGGCATATACCAAGGAGATGCTCTGTCCCCGCTACTGTTCTGCATAGGCCTGAACCCCCTCAGCCAAGTTATCAACAAGACTGGCTACGGATACAGACTCAAAAATGGGGCCAATATCAGTCACCTACTCTACATGGGATGACATCAAGCTGTACGCCAAGTGTGAGCGAGACATCGACTCACTGATCCACACCACCAGGATCTACAGCACTGACATTGGGATGTCATTCGGACTAGAGAAATGTGGTCGGCTGGTCACAAAGAGGGGGAAGGTCATCCACACAGAAGGGGTCTCACTCCCAGAAGGAACAATAGCAGACATAGAGGACAGTTACAAGTACCTAGGTATACCACAAGCAAATGGCAACCTCGATGAGGTCAAGGAAAGGAGCCACAGCTAAATACCTCCAACGAATAAGGCAAGTCCTGAGAAGCCAGCTCAATGGCAAGAACAAAATCCGTGCGATAAACAGCTATGCCTTGCCAGTAATCAGATACCCTGCTGGAATAATTAGCTGGCCAAAGGAGGAGATAAAAGCCACAGATATTAAGACCAGAAAGCTACTAACAATGCATGGAGGGTTCCATCCCAAATCCAGCACCCTGAGACTGTACACGAGCCGCAAGGAAGGAGGCAGAGGACTAGTGAGTGTGAGAACCACTGTCCAGGGACGAAACAACTAAGATCCATAAATACATCAGGGACAAAGCCTCAACAGACAATGTGCTCAGTGAATGTCTCAGACAACAGGGAACGGAGGTTGAGGTGCCAGAGATACCATCATGGGAGGACAAACCCCTACATGGGATGTACCACCAGCAAATAACCCAAGTGGCTGATATAAGTAAATCCTACCAATGGCTGGAAAAAGCTGGACTCAAGGACAGCACAGAGGCCCTCATCCTGGCCGCCCAGGAACAGGCCCTAAACACCAGAGCAATAGAGGCCCAGATCTACCACACCAGACAAGACCCAAGGTGTAGGTTGTGCAAGGAGGCCCCTGAGACAGTCCAGCACATCACAGCAGGGTGCAAGATACTGGCAGGGAAAGCGTACATGGAGCGACATAACCAAGTGGCAGGCATAGTGTACAGAAACATCTGTGCAGAATATGGACTGGAAACCCCGAGATCAAAGTGGGAAACACCCCCAAAGGTGGTGGAGAACGCCAGAGCTAAGATCCTGTGGGACTTCCAGATCCAGACAGACAAAATGGTAATGGCGAACCAACCAGACATTGTCGTAGTGGATAAACATCAGAGGAAAGCCGTTGTGGTAGATGTAGCAATACCAAGTGATTGCAACATCAGGAAAAAGGAGCACGAGAAACTGGAGAAATACCAGGGCCTCAGGGAAGAACTGGAGAGGGCCTGGAAGGTGAAGACCACAGTGGTGCCTGTGGTCATCGGGGCCCTCGGGGCAGTAACCCCCAAACTGGAGCAGTGGCTACAACAGATCCCAGGAACAACATCAGACATCTCAGTCCAGAAATGTGCAGTCCTTGGCACAGCCAAGATACTGCGCAGAACCCTCAAGCTCCCAGGCCTCTGGTAGAGGACCCGAGCTCAGGATAAGAACCACCCGCGGTGGGTGAGAAGGGAATTTTTTTTTTTTTTTATATATTGTTGGGGAATTCTTCTGTTAAATCATAAATGAATCACAAGTTTCTTCCTGTGACTCGTTTTTCCAGATTTTATTTCCAATACTTTTTATTCATAACATAATTGAGCGTCTGTCAATCGCATACGGCCGGAGAAAGAAATGTGACAATAAGAACGAGCCACAGTGAGCAAATGAACGACTGATTAGTATTCATAATATTTATTATTTAAATATTTATTGTCTTAAAAACCGTATTGCGTATCAGTGAGGGTCTCACAGTCAAACTTTTCAGTAATAATATTATCTCTGAAGGCCAGTTTCCGTTTGTAAATCCATACTGCCATTTGATTTGTGTGACATTTCTGGAGGCATTGTTCTGATGAGCTCATCTGATTGCCTGCATGAGAAATGTGTCTGAACTTGAAGATGTAGTTCATAAATTTCCTGCAAAGATACATAAAAATAAGAAACTGATATTGTTCTTTTTCATGTAATTGCTCTTTATTTTTCTCTTGCATGTGTTGAGAAAGAGTTGGAGAACGGTAGAAAACTCCTTTTCATTTATGTTATAAATTAATAGACTGCAGCCATTTAAAATGTTTTGCATCTTTCTGAAAAAGCTTTAGATAATGTATCTGATGAGATTTTATATCTTGTATTTATGAAACTGAGGAGAAAATGTCCAATAAAGCTGATTCAGTGAAATGGTTTGATTGGCTGCTCAATTAAATCCCATTAAGGAGATTAGACCTTTGGCTGCAGCTCAGCAGTCAGTTGATGCATTTATTGAGATTCTTGGATTGAATTTAACCTCTTTGGAGGTTAAAGTGCTTGGAGTTAATGTGACCGGATTGGTGCATCTAAAACACAACTTTCCTCTGAGAAACTTCAAGACGACAGTAATGTACGTGAGGCTGAAACGATTCATCTAATTAATCATGATTAATCGATCATTGAAATAATCCATCAACTAATTTAGTAATCAGTTAATCATTAACTGGAGCCCTTAAAAAGACAAACACACTTAGAGCAGCAATAAAAACCAAAACTGTACAAAAATATAAACATTTTGCGTTTCTTCAACTGTAAGTCTATTCTATCCAGAATTACATTTTTTATCTTCTCCTCCTTTAAATTCAGTAAAAAACAATCTCTTGTTAAGCACCTTCATAAGAGATTTATTAATTTAATACAAATAATCAGCAGATTATTAGACAGTATTTTTTTAGCTACAGATTCATCTTTTGGTACAAATGAATGTTATGATGTTGCATTTTATCCAAGAAAATGTAAAAATGTTTTTATTTGTATCTTCTAATGGATTTTTAATATTGTGTAAAAACGACTGAAGTGTTTAAATTAAAAAAATCTAAAAAATGTGATGATTTTTTTTTTTCTTTTTTCGAACAATCATTACTAAAACAATTGTTGGTTGCAGCCCTAAAATGTGGGTCAGTGAGGACTTTTGAGTTTCTGCATTAGTTGTTTCGAGTAACAGAAATGTTTAATTTTTAACAAGTAGGGGTGGACGGATTTATCAGGCAGCCAATAAATCGGCTGCCCAGATTTTAGGCGATCGGCCGATGCAGCCATATGATGCTGATACTTTCTACCTCATCAAAGCTCTAAAAATCAGATGCTCTGCGGTGAGAAGTTTGACTGATGGCCCGGTTCACCAGGTCAGATCCAAACCAGTTAACAGATGTTGCCAACTCGGCGTCTTTATTGCTATATTTAGTAGGAATGCACTGATTGCAGTTTTCTGTTCTATCCTCAGTTACCGATTTTTATTTAATTTTTTTCCTCTGAAGAGTTTTTGCGGCACTTGTGGCTCGTATTTTTTGACAGTAGGCAGACAGGAAAGAGGGCGAGGAGAGGGGGGAAGACATGCGGCAAAGTTCGCCGGGATCAGGAGTCGAACCCGCGACGTCCGTGTCGAGAACTGAGGCCTCCAAACATGGGGCGTGCTAACCCCTGCGCCACCGCAGCATGCCCCCCTCAGTTACCGATTTTAAAAAAAACAACTGAACTCCTAAAAGAATGGAAATCAGCGCCAGTTAATCTATGCACAACTGATATTTAACAACACGAAGAATTGGTATCAGCCAAGCTTTGAATTGTTGAAGATCGGTAAACTGCTTTTATTTTTCTCCTGATCTGCAGGTCCGTCCCAGAATCCCGTTGCTCTGCAGCAGCCGCTGGGGGTCGGCTACGGCGTGAATCACCAGCCGACCTACAACCCGATGCAGGCCAAAGTGTTGGGCCCCCCCGGCCCCGCTCTGTACGCTTCTGGGCCGTACCAGCCGGTTCCGCCCGGATCGCAGCTCGGCTCCTACCCTCCGGCGCCGGCCCAGCCTCTGCTGACCCGGCCGCAGGTCGGCGTTCTCCCGTCCCACACCCCCCCTCAGTCCGCCAGCCCGGGCCCGGGGCCCCTGCCGGCTCAGGCCACGCCTCCGGCTCAGGCCACGCCTCCTCCTCCTGCTGTCACCTCCACCGGCTACTACACCGGCCCTCCAGCCTGGCAGTACGCTACTCCCCGGGGCCCCGCGCCCAATCATGTGAATCCAGCTGCTGCTGCGCCGCCCCACATTTCCCACAGCTCCGCCCAGCCGCCTGCGCCAGGAACCACGCCCACCTCCATACACGGATACCCTCATCCAGGTCGGAGCAGACTACCGCTAACTATCCTCCTCACAGTTTCATTCCAGGAACATTTGCTCTGGGTTGGTGAAACAAAGTCCAGCTGACACTGAATAGCCTGAAGAGATGAATCATCTGCTCCAGTTTCTTAAACTGGCCTAAATTAACAGTTAGCTTAAACTGCTAATTTAGGCTCCATTGCTGCAAAATCACTGCCAGTTTCTGCAAACAAGACAATCTTCTATAAAACCTGCACTAAAGAAGGTTGTGCTGATTTGTTAGACACTTTTATAAGTGATGAAGATTCAGACACAAACCAGCTGCTTAAATGTTGCTCGGCTGAAATGATTAAAATACTAATCACGATTAATCAATTATTGAAATAATCAACTAGTTTTGTAATTGATTAGTAAGATATAGACCAAGAAAGCCCATTTGCTGAATGAACAATTAATTAATTAAACTGTATGGCATAATGATAATGCAAAACAGATTCTCAAAAACTGATCAGCTTTAAATTCTAATGAACATTTGAAAGTGGAACTGGAAGACATTTTAAATATCCCAAATAAATAAGCAAAACAAGTTTTTGTAAATAAAATTATTCTAATTAAAAAAAAAGATTAGTTGAGACCGAAACACCAAAGTGAAACGTTTATCATCCGGTTTTAAATAGAAAGAGAAAAAAAGCAATAAATCATGTAAATGTTAAGTGAGTTTGTTTTATCATGTGATTAATTGATTTATTGTGACAGGCTTATTAAAGCGAATAGTTTTATTTTCCCCTGTTTCACTGTGTGTTATAATAATGTTTAGTTTCAGCACTGAAACTGCAATTACTCTGATATGATCTGGAGATGGGCGTATCTGCAGCCTGATACGTTGGAGCTGGACGTTGACCTCTGCTCCGACACAGAACATGTTGGCCAGCGGCCCTCCCAGTGACAGACACACACACACACACACACACACACACACACACACACACACACACACACACACACACACACACACACACACACACACACACACACACACACACACACACACACACACACACACACACACACACACACACACGTTCAGTCGATCTCTGGGCAAAGTCCAGATCAAACTGATCTGATCAGAATTAAAATCACATATTTTAAAATAGGAGATGTTTTGTTTTCAGTTTATAAAGTTTAAGAATGTTGTGATTATTATTTGCGAAAGCACATGAATCCATCAGAGGATGCAGAAAGCTGCTCCGTTATCTGAGAAGTTATTGGTTCTTTTGTTAATCTGTCAGTATTTAGTTGTTTTTACTTCCTAGTTTCTCCAAACCGTCACTCTGGGCCAGATTCAGATTATAAAGTTAGTAAAACAAGTTGATTTATGACATAATCTTATTGAAAATTTTAATTCCTTTTTTACTCCTATAAGACTAAAAATAAACCTGGTGAGTTATAAATTTAGCTTAATCTTTAACATTTTTGACAAACTCATTTTGGAAAATGCTGCAGACATTTTACACAAAGTAGCAAGTAGTTAATGGTGTAAACTTTATTTTATTATTATTTTTAAAAAGTCCTAACTGGAAGTTTTGCCTGTTTTTCTCTGTCTGAGCCTGATGATTAATATATTTTATTTTTCATTTTTGGCTGTTTTGATTATTTATTTAAAATGTCTTTTTATTAAATTATTTTATAAATTAAAGTTTATTAATCTTAGAGACTCTGTACTTGAAATATTCAGTTATAATTAGTTTAAAATTGATTCAAAATAACAATATTATGGTCTAAAACAAATTTTCTAAATTTATTGTTACAGTTTACATATTAGTTATAAAATGTCTTATTTTGATTTATAAACTTAACCCAAAAAAATTAGTTATACCCAAATTTTGATTTTAATTTGAAAGAAATTGCTTGTTGCTCCAAATAATGTAATTAAGTTGATATATTTTCAAAGTATTGCTGTTGTAAATTTTGACTGAATGAGAAATAAGTTGCCTGTTGGATTGAAAAAGAAGCGGATCTGATATAAATCTGCTCTGTGTTCACTGGCTTGTGAAGAGGATTATTGGCAGTAAATGCAGCTGTAAACCTGCTTCATTCATTTTTCAACTGGAAACTGAAACTGTACTGTAACAAAATATTGAATTTTTAACTCATGTTTAAAAAGATAATGGGTGGCAGTAGATTTTTTTCCCCTCAAATTAATCAAGATATCTTATTTAGAAAAATGTAATAGTTTTTTTTCTCGATGGGAAAATGTGAAGATGAGCAGAAGAAGTTATTCATGTCTAATGTTTCCAGGCCCCCCCCCTCCACCAATGAACCCTCTGCCTCCCCACACATACCAGCCCAACAGGCCCGGCTATGGTCCTCCACCCACAGCGCCCCCTGCTGGGCCCCCAGGAACCACCGGCACACCTCCTCCTCCCAAAGCTGATGGTGGGTTTCGAATCCGCTGGGTTTCAGTCCCGCTGTTAAAGATTTCACTTGTTAAAAATTGGATGTTTTTTATTGTAAATTTTAGGGATGGGTAAGAACAGAGTAGAATATGAAGTGATCTGAAAAGTGTGGTGTGCATTTGTACTAAGGCCCAATTTAGCCAGAGTTGTGTAGTAACTAGTTACATTTACGTGAGTAACTTTTTGGAAAAAATGAACTTTTAGGAGTTTTTTTCTTCACTGTACTTTTTAAGTTATGTATTTCTGCTCTTACTTGAGTAAAATTTCAGGATTTTTCTACCCACTGAATGAAAACAAACATGTTTTAACCAGAAACAAACCTGCAGTTTCTGTTAAAGTCAGACATAAATCCAGAACTTAAAAACTGAGATGCTGTTTGTCCAGTCTGATGGAGTTTAAGGTTTTTTGCAAGAAAAGTCTCGGGATTTCAGTCTGTGGGACGTCACAGCTGTGGACTAGAAAGTTCTGATTTAATTAGGCCAAACACAGCACACTTTAAAAACATAATTTTCTTTTTACATCACAAATATGTACAGCCTGAAGTTGGCCTGTAAATTGTTAACGTTCATCAAAGTTCACGTGTTTGTGACAAAACTTTAAATGTTTCAGGGTGTGAATACTGTCAGCTCAGGAAGCCGGGATGGTTACCGTGATGAGTTGTTCTCGGGGCAGAGTAAACGTGATGCAGGAGCGATCGTGTGGTTGTTGACCTGATCTGGATCCACTGTTAGGTTTCATGAAGCAGGTCCAGTTTGTCTCTGATTATAAATCGACAGCTGCTTCTGTCCTGACCCTGTCCGTCCCTCTTTTTGTTCCCCCTCATCGTCCTTATCGAGGCCAGCTCAGTGCTGGGGGGCTGCCAGCAGCGCCCGGCCCCCCACTGAGCCCGACACCCAGGAAGGAGATGTTGAATGTCCAGGTGTGGCCGGGTCACGAGTGTTGCTGTGTTGGCTGTTCTGTGCTGTTTGGGTCATTTTCCATCCTGTGTTCTGGTGGTCAAACTTCAGCCAATTAACTTTGTTTTATTACCAGAATGTCTTTAAATAAGCCTCCAAGTTTCAGTCACCTTTAGTTCCCATACTTGTGATCTTTATTGTCACTTTGTTTTAGGGCTGCAACGGTTATTTTAGTAATTGATTATTCTGTATTTTAAAAATTGGCTCACTCTGCAGATTTGTTATACAGTATAAGAAATGAAAATAAATCCAAATACAACAATTAAATTCTTTTTTTAAATAAGAAAATAAACATTTCATTGCCTAAAATTGGGCCTGTACCAGATGGTAAATTTTCCCAGGAGTTATTGTGGTAAATTATGATGTTGTTGTTTTGAAACCATTTTCAAGAAATGTAATTGGTATAATTCTAATGAGAGAACAGATTCGTAAAGATCAGTAAACCTTAAATTCTAATCAACATTTAACACTAAAACATTTTTAATATCCAAAATAAATGAACACAAACAACAAATAAAGTGCCCTTAAAACACCAGACTGAAAACTTTGAACATCCAGTTTTTGTTAGAAAAAGAAAAGTGATAATTCATGCAGATGAAAATTATTGAGCTTGCTTTAATTTGTTGTGTGATTGATTGATTTGTGACAGGATTTTAAAATGCAATCAGAATCTGATGCAGATGAAACTAAAAAGCTGGTTGTTTTATCTTAAATGCAAAATATCCATATTATTGTACGGTTTTGGATTTATTATTACTTTGAATATGTTTTATTTTTTTAGTCTGGAAACTCCAGTCAAAGACTAATTGATTAATAAATTAGTTGCTGATTATTTCACTGATTGATTAATTGTTGCAGCCCTGCGGTTTGAGTCCATCTGCAGCTTTTATCGCCTCTGAGTCGGAAACATTCAGGTGTCTAACGGATGAAATCCTCTCTGCTGTTTTTGCTCTAGGAGATGTGGCAGGAAACGGCCCACAGGCACCAAACAGCTACAACCACGTTGACAGCAGAATGGGTAAGGCTTCCTCTGCACCGACGCAAACCGCTTTCACATTTCACATCCACCAAGTTACAGCAGCAAAACCTTTCAATCTTCATTAACATCAATTAAATTAAGGATAACTTGTTTTTACATCTTCTGTGACGCCACCCAACCTTTCCAGAAAATAATTTGTAATTTTATGAAAGGACCAGATCTTTTTTTCTTACCGTTTTCCCAGTGACTCAGAAACGGCTGTAGACGGAGATGATAGCCAGAATAATGGAGGCGCTGAGCCCGTTAAGGTGCAAACAAAGCCTGGTGGCCCACCAGGCTGATGAAACACTAATGAACCCTTACCACTAGAACCAGAAGACACTTTAAATATCCAAAATAAAACAGAAACGGCAAATACAATAAATTATAAAGTCTGTAAGTAAAATTATCCTTAAAAATGTTAAGTTGCAACCAAAACAACAGACTGAAGAGAAAAGCCATGAATCAGGAGATGAATTTATTTCTGCTGTTAGTTGATTTATTGTGACAGGGGACTAATTCTCCTGGTCTAAATGTTCTTGTTGTGTTCACCTCAGCTGGTGCAGCTCAGCCCGGCCCGCCTGCTCGGCATTTGGGCCACTACCTGTCCCTGCCCCCCGGGTACCAGAACACCTCGGCGCCGCCTGCCTCCTCCCTTCACCCGGCGCTCCAAGCCGCCACGCAGCCGTACACACAGGGACCGCAGCCGTACCAACAGGTGAGGGAACGTCGCCTCAGATCCAGTTCAGCTCATTTTCACGCAGATCGGCTCTGAAAGCTAAGAGTTCTGCTGTCAGCCGGGCTGAAAATGGACATTTCCAAAAATCATTTGTTTTGTTTCTGTGAAACTAAAAAATGCTCCGTAAATCTGGGACTATTTGACAAATATCAATATATCAGCGACATCATTCTGACTAGATGTCTGAAATAGGGAAGTCTAATTAAAGAAATATCTAATTTATTTGGACTTAGACTTAGACTTCCTTTATTGTCATTGTAACAAAAAAAACACAAGGTGAATCTTGACAACGAAATGTCGTTACTTGGCTACCAGTGTAGCAGAGCTAAAACCTTAAACTACCCAATAAATAAAGAAATACAATACAAGTGCCATAGAATACACTCGGTTCAGTGTTGTGAACAAAACTAAACTAAAGTGCATGTATTGACCATGTCCATGGGGGGTGATTTGGTTTGTGAGTGTGTGAAGGGGTGTTATGTGGCGTTAAGCAGTCTGATGGCCCGGGGGAAGAACCTGTTCAGTAGTCTGGTTGTTCTGCACAAGATGCTGCAGAACCTTCTTCCAGACGCCAGGGGGGAAAACATTTTAATATTTTAACAGGAATATTCACTCATCAAAATCCAGATATTACTTCAGTTTGTCATTATTTGCACTGGTTGAACCTACATTTATCTGTGGAAGAGGATTAGGGCCATTTGGGAAGAAAATAATTCTGACTTTCACCTCTGAATTAACATTTTTTCCCCCCTCAAAATCCAGATTTTTGTTGTATTAATTTTCTCAGAATTTTGTCTTGATGTCGGACCAACTCGGTGTTTGTCGGTTCCGGTCCGGAGGCCTCCTGCCCTGCATGTTTCAGCTTTTTCCCTGCTGCCGCTTGCTGGTCATGCAGTCATTTGAATCAGCTGTTCTGGAATAGAGGCTCATCTGAAACATGCAGGGAAAGGAGACGCTCTGGATTAAAGTCTGAATTGTGAAGTTTTTTTCAGAGACCTTGTTCCTCTCCAACCTATAACTTCCAAATGAACGAGATATCTCATCAGAACAGAAAGCAGGATATTGTAAATAGACAAGTCATAATTTATTTAAGATGATCAGTAATTAATTGTAGATATTTTAATTTAAATCTTCATGCAATCTTCATGAATGGAAAATATGACTTCATTTATAATAGTCAGAATATAATCAGAAATATCAAATACATATATTGTCTTGTCAAAATATTATATTTTAAGTAATATTTCTAGTCATAAAGTATTTTCTGATGTCTGGAATGTAAGTGTGTTGAGGTTGATTTTTATGTTGAAACTGCTTGCCATACGAGGAATGTTTCAGTTTTAGATGATAGTTTCACCGTGTCCCTGCAGCCTGGCGGTCCCGGTCCGGCCCAGCTGAGCCCGTCGATGGCGGCCTTGAGCCTCCAGTCCAGCACGCCGGAGGCTCTGAGAGTGGTCAACCTGCTGCAGGAGAGGAACCTGCTGCCGCCGGCGCCCGCCCCGACGCCCTGCCTCACCCAGGACCTGCAGAAGCTCAACTGCAGCCCAGAGTAAGGCGAGACGGGCCGCACGCAGCATCTGCTGCAGTTACACCTTTGGCTCTGATCACGCCGTTTGTTCCTCCAGGGTTTTCCGTTGCACGCTGACCAGCATCCCTCAGACCCAGTCTGTGCTGAATAAAGCCAAGCTGCCGCTGGGCCTGCTGCTGCACCCCTTCAAAGACCTCTCGGTAACTCCAGGTCATTTCTGATGGCCGCATGCTCAGTCTGGACTCGTTTCTGTGTCGTTTGGAGATGAAACTGGTTTCACTACGTCATGTGAATGCTTTTCTGGCCATGTTTGTCTGGGAGAACAAGAGGCAGAGCTTTGGTGCAAACTTCAACTTGTTGGCATTTAAATTGGGGAAAATATTTAGATTGTTATTCTAACCAGCCTGAATTTAGTCACTGCACTGCAAAAGCACAGATTTCGCCGGACAAAAATAACTTCTGATCAAGATAAATGAGCTGGTTTTGGGTCAATAATTCCTTAATATTCATGAAAAAATTCACTTTTTACAGTCAGCATTTACTTTATCAAGTACTTTAAAATAATTAAATTGTGTTTCTCTTATTTCTTTTCAGAAATTTTGTAAAATAAAAAACTTGAAATGTGAAACAGTTGTTTGATTGTTTAAGATTAAATGAAAGCTACAGCTTTTAATACTCATTTAATTGGTGAGATAAAAACTACTTATTGGACTTTTAATGCCCAAACATGAATATGGATGGAATAAACTGAAAACAAACTCTGATGTCTTCACAACTTGTGACAAAACTGAACGACTCATTTGATTTCTCCTTCCATGTCTTTGAATGCAGCAGCTTCCTGTGGTGACGTCCAGCACCATAGTGCGGTGCCGGTCCTGCAGAACCTACATCAACCCATTTGTTTCCTTTCTGGACCAGAGGAGATGGAAATGCAACTTGTGCTATCGAGTAAATGATGGTAAGAAGATGCTTAGAAACCAAGACGCTGCATTTATCTATTTTATCTGAACATTATTTTCAAACATGTCCATTTTCACATGAAACCTTAAATGATTTTCATGCTTTTGTGTTTTAGTCCCTGAAGAGTTTATGTATAACCCGGTCAGCAGATCATACGGCGAACCGCACAAAAGGCCAGAAGTCCAGAATGCCACTATTGAGTTCATCGCTCCTTCAGAATACATGGCGAGTTAAAATCCCTTTTTATTACTGCATCGATGTCTGAGGAACGATAATATTAATAAGTGTGTTTTTACAGAGCGTTTTGCCTCCATGACGCCACGGTGACCACTCAACTCCAGATACAAACAGACAACACAAAATGAGCATGAAATAACAGAAATGCAGCTGAGAAAATATAATAAGACAGATTAAAAGTAAACAAATACAAATTCAGTAATCAGATTCGGAGATCCTTGCAGTAAGATCACAAAAAAGACCAATTTCATAAACTAGATACCGATTCCAATGTAAAATAAATGAGATGTTATTATAAAATAAAACTCAATTCTGTGGTAGAAATACAAAACCTACAATCTTTATAAATGCTAAAAGTAAGATTTAAAAAAACTGAAAAGAGGAATAATGAATGAGATAAATTTAAATAATAAACATTTTTAATGCAGCAATAATAAATGGAAGTAAAATAATGAAATTCAGATTCTAAAATTCTAATGACTAAGATCCAGAAAAATAGATATAAAATATCAGAAAGAAAAAAATCCTGATTTGGAGAGAAAATAATGGAACTGAATGCTGAGGTAAAGATAAAAATATAATTGTCCTTAAAAGTTCAAACGATAATAATAAACATTTAAAGTGGACTAATAAGCTAAAGATTTTTCATAAAATAAGGGAATATAATGAAGTGAAATAAATATATATATCCACACACTAATTAACTAACAAGTTGAACTTTTTGGTGAGAAAAGGTTTTGTCTGTTGATGTCATTTAAAAAAGAAATTTATACAAAAATAGATGTAAACAAAAGTGTCTGTTTCATTCAAGTTGTTAATTAATCACAGCTAAATTATATGAAATGTAATTTGTTGCTATACTTGCAGTTTCCTGTCAGTAACTCTCCCCGCTTGCCCTGCAGCTGCGGCCGCCGCAGCCGGCCGTCTACCTGTTCGTCCTGGACGTGTCCCACAACGCCGTGGAGACGGGTTACCTGAGCGTCTTCTGCCAGTCGCTGCTGGACAACATCAACGCGTACGTACCGATCAGAACCAGGAGTTTCTTCTGATTTATTCACCTGGAACCGGCTCTAATCAAATGTTTAACGTCTTCATATTTAACTGGAACAGTTTTCAGGAAAGTCTTTGAAAACTGGAGTGAAGCTTTGTTTCTGTGCCTCAGGCTTCCCGGAGACTCGCGGACCAAGGTGGGCTTCATCACCTTCGACAGCACCATCCACTTCTACAACCTGCAGGAGGGCCTTTCCCAGCCGCAGATGCTCATCGTCTCTGACATCGAAGGTGAGCCGCGTCTGGAGCGCCACGGCTGGACGGTTTCTGCTTTCTGCTTTTATTGAAATTATAACGTTTGATCCACAGATATCTTTCTACCAACACCAGACAGCCTTCTAGTAAACCTTAACGAGTGCAAGGAGGTAAGAGCCTTGTTCCATCCACCAGTCATGTTTTGACTAGGACTGGGCAGAAAAATAAAACCTGGTTCATTTCTTGCTTTCTTTTTTAACAAATGACAAACGGTAGAAAATATTTACTTCCATCCTCGACAGATTATTACATCATTTTTGTTTAATTGCACAAATAGTGGTAATAAAGATGCATTTTCAACAGAATAGAAAGTTATTTTAATGAGAGAAATTGTTTTTTTTTTTTTTTTTGCTGTCCTAAAATTGCAGCGTAAAAATGGAGACATTGATCTTGAAGTCATTTTATTTTATTCTCATATTAATGCTGCTGTATTCTTGAAATATTTTGACTTTATTCTCGTTAAAAAATAGAAAAATGTTTTCTGACTCTTACGTTTTGTTGACCTGCATTAAAATCCAATAAACAGAAGCTGTAAAACAAGATGGCCGCCCCGGCCGTTTTGACGTCACACTGAAAATGGAGACGCAAAGAGTTTATTGGTGGAAAACAAAATCCAGATTTTCCAAAAATGACCTTCTTTGTTTTACACAGTAACTCTGACCACAGCTGCATCAGGAGAAAACTTTACCGTGTTTCCGTTTTTCCTCCAGCTTGTGCAGGATCTGCTGAAGAGTCTGCCGACCTTGTTCGAGAAGACGATGGAGACGCAGTCTGCTCTGGGCTCGGCTCTCCAGGCCGCCTTCAAGCTGCTGTCTCCCACCGGAGGCCGGATGTCCGTCTTTCAGACGCAGCTGCCCAACCTGGGCGTGGGGGCGCTGCAGTCCAGAGAGGACCCCAACCAGAGAGCGTCTGCCAAGGTACAGACTGGAAGAGACTCGGTGACGGGTGTTGGTCTGTCGATCCTACATTGCTGCAGTGAGAATGTGTGGATTCTACTAACCATACGGTTCCCTGCATGTTGTTGTTTACATCTGGAAATTTCACCCAAAGCTCCATCGTGAAAAGACGATTCTTTTCCTTCCTTTCAGCGGCGCTGCTGCAGTAGAACCGTTGGCTAAATGAAACCTGGAGATGAAGCTGCTAATAATTTAATCAGCAAAGGGAAAAATAATAACTTAAAACCACTTCCACACCAAAAAACACGCAAACGTTTCCCCACAGAGCAGAACATTCAGTCTGTAACAGTTCTATGATTTCAGGCTTGATGTTTGTTTTGTGATTATCAATAATTGATCGCTGTGATAGATTAGCCAAAGCTGCTATTAGCTGAGCTAACATAGAGGTGGGAGGTTCGCTAACTGAAGACCTGCTCTGTCAGAGTTGCTGTCAACGTTGCTTTTTTGTGTTTCACTGACCTGAAGCGCAACAAATTAATTAAAACCTTTCCAGACCTTATCTAGTCGTAGTGCTGACAATCATTAGCAAAGCAATGTGTCCATTTTTCTTTCATACATCAGGCGAACATTTCAGCGTTCACACGTTGTATTGACAACTTGGCAGCTAAACCAATGCTAGCATCGTTAGCGAGCAGCTTTCGCCCCCCAGGTGGAAGCTGGGGGGAGATCTTGCGTGATGTCACGTTGCTAATGGTCTATAACTAATTGGAATTACGAAAATAAATGTGCTTAATAGAAACACAAGAGGTTTGTGTGCCAGGATGAGGTGGTTTTTCAGCCATATTGAATTTAGTGAGTTTTCTAAAACTGAGAAACTTAAATTGATAAATGACTTTACAGATTTTTGTGATCAGTTGGTAATTTTATAAGAAAGCATCTCAGTGAAAATGGCTGATTGGCTGGTATTTCTGTTCTCGTTTTCCTGCCAGGACGTCCAGCATTTATCCCCAGCAACAGATTTCTACAAGAAGCTGGCGCTGGACTGCTCCGGCCAGCAGGTGGCAGTCGACCTGTTTCTGCTCAGCGCTCAGTACTGCGACCTGGCGTCGCTTGGTGAGGAAACAGAAAAAGTCTGGTCAAAAACCAACAGCCAGCGGTTTTAAAATGCATGCTTTGTGCTAAGACAAGCATGCATTTTGCTTGAAGTTGCTGCGTTTGTCCTGAGTTTAATTTGAAACGTTTTCTGCTGCTGCCTCTGTTTCTCAGGATGCATATCCAGATACTCGGCAGGGAGCGTTTATTACTACCCCTCCTATCACCATCAGCACAACCCGGCTCAGGTGGAGCGCTTCCAGAGAGATCTGAAGAGATACTTAACGCGAAAAATCGGCTTTGAGGCCGTCATGAGAATACGATGCACCAAAGGCAAGAAAACCTCCCAGCTTTTTATTTCATTCTAGATTTTTAAAATCCCTAATTGAGCTTAATGGCTGAAACAATTATCTAAATTAATGGTTATTATTGAAATCATTCTCAACCAATTAATCAATTTATTAACTGGACTATCCAGACCCCCCAAAAAGGACAACATACTCAGAACAGTAATTAACTTAAAACTGTTTAAAAATTAATAAGTTTTGTATTTAAGATTAAACTCAAGCTGTAAATATGTCCTCAAATTATTTGGACTTGATTATTAATCCAAAAAATAATTAGTTGGCTGTAGTGTTTTAGCTGCAGATGCATCTTCTGCTACATGTGATCAATTTTTATTCTTCAGAATAAAATTATTTGCTAATTTTCATCTTTTAATGCATCTCTAATATTGTGTGAAAGTAGGCCTGTATGGAACTGAAAAATCTGCAGAATGTATCAGTTATTTATACGATTAATCGATTACTAGTTAGCTGCAGCCTGATTAGTTGAATCGTTAATTTTCTGCAGTATGATTTGAGTTGTTTTGAACATTTTAAATTGTCGTTTTTCTGTTTTTCTTCTAATTCTTGTACAGCATGAATTATTATAATATCAGAAGCATTTGAATTGCACGTCATGCCTTGTTGCTAGAGAACTGCTGACAAATAGAGCCTGTTGTTCTTCTTCTCCTTGCAGGATTGTCCATCCACACGTTCCACGGAAACTTCTTTGTGCGTTCCACGGATCTGCTGTCCCTCCCCAACGTCAACCCAGACGCCGGCTTCGCCGTCCAGATGTCCATCGAGGAAAACCTGGATGACATGCAGGTCGTCTCCTTCCAGGCTGCTCTGCTTTACACCTCCAGCAAAGGTTTGAGAACAAGCTCTTATTTTGAAAGGCAAACTCTAATTTTTTTCCCTCCTGTTTTTCTGAAACAAAATGTTTTCCCTTCACAGGAGAGAGGAGGATTCGGGTTCACACCATGTGCCTCCCGGTGGTTAGTTCTCTGTCGGATGTGTTTGCTGGAGCGGACGTTCAGGCCATCACTGGGCTGCTGGCTTGCATGGGTACGCACTCCTCCAAGCTGCGCAGACTCTGAAGTCACAATATTATTCCTCTTCTCTGAATCCACCACAAATATCCACTCCCTTCATGCAACAAACTGTCTAATTATTAGTTTACTACCTTAACTAAATTAAAATGATGTTTGGCCGCCAGGGGGCGCTAGAGAGCCTCCAATTTGGAGGGAAGTTCATTTTTAAGTCTTTGCATTAATATAAAAAGATAAATGTCTGGTCTTCCATCTTTATTATAAATATAAGTTAAAATAATTGATCAAAGATAGAAGACAGAAATAACTTATTGTTTCAGAAGAAATTTAGGCAAAAAGTTTTGTCCTCAAGCTGGAAACGGAAAAGACGAGACAAAGAAAGAAGGAGACGTCTCCTGCAAAAAACTATTTTCAATCAAATTTGATGGCATTAATATAAAAATATAAGTGGATGTTTTTTTTATCAAAAGAGGGGGTGTGGTGGAAACTTGTATCTAATATATTCAACGTCAGATTAATAATATTTAGCTAATAATATTTAACCCTGAAGTGGGCTGAGTGGATCAGACATGGTGCTGAGCTCAGTCTGTGTCCATGATGATCCTCCGGCTCGGAGTTAGCAGATGCTGCAGCTTCTGGCTGCAAAACAAGCTAAAAACTTTCTATTCGTCCAGTTCTGGTGTCACAGTTGCTCACCAGATCAAACTGGGATGACATTCAAGAAGAACTAAAATAATTTGATTAAAGATGGATTAATCCAGAGGAAGGTAGTTACTTCTGAACTCTGAGGAAAATCTGCTCTCTCTGCTGAAACTTGATGAAAATGCTGCGTTTCCTGACGTCTGTGTCTCCGTTCCCAGCTGTGGACCGCTCTGCGACGTCCAGCCTGAGCGACGCCAGAGACGCCATGACCAACGCCGCCATCGACTCGCTGGCGTCGTACCGGCAGTCTGCGCTGACCGTCCAGCAGCCAGGCCTGCTGGCTCCGGCCTGCCTGCGCCTCTTCCCGCTCTACATCCTGGCTCTGCTCAAACAGGTACCGCCTCTGCTTCCATCACAGCGCCGGGTCTTGGTACCAAAAGTCACGTTTCAGAACCTCCAACATTAGAAGAAGAGAATTTTATTCGTGTGGCCAGAGATGGAGGCTGGATTCGCTCCTTATCCAGCTCACCATGACTGAAACATTTTGGTTTGTTAGATTGTGGTTTAGATCCATTTTAAGTGAACCAAGTTCCTCTGTCGCTTCACCTGAGCAGCTCTTCAGCTTTGGATCCATCCGCCCGTACGTCTCTTTGTTCATACCAGTTTACATATCCGTGTGATCTGCTTCACTTCAAGCAGCCTCAGCTTGTAAAACACAGAAAAACTCCATAAATTACGTCAATAAAACGAGATTAAGGCAATTAATCAGGAAATTTAAGCACACTAATGTTACAAAGCAGATCTGTTTGTGTGTTCCCGGCAGAAAGCCTTCAGAACCGGAACCAGCACCCGGCTGGATGAGCGCGTGTTCGCCATGTACCAGCTGAAGTACCAGCCGCTGGCGTTCGCCATGCTGATGATCCACCCGGCGCTGTACCGCCTGGACGACCTGAGCGACGAGGTGGGCTCAGGACGCCGGAAGCATCTTTAACGCGCCGCGTTTCTTTATTTTCACCTGGTTTCCCGTCGTCCTCAGGGAGCGCTGAACGTCAGCGAGCGGACGATCCCCCAGCCCAGAGTCCTGCAGCTGTCGGTGGAGAAGCTCAGCAGGGAGGGAGCGTTCCTCATGGACGCTGGGCTGGTGCGTTCAGAGGGAAGGAGAACCTTCCTGTTGAACAAGGGCAGAACCGTGACGCTTGTCTTTTGTCCAGGTCATGTATCTTTGGATCGGACGAAACTGCCACCAAAACTTCCTCTCTCAAGTCCTGGGAGTTTCCAGCTACGCTGCCCTGCCAGAGAAGCTGGTAGGAAACACTGCAACAAAATTCAGTGATAATGAATTTTAATAAGGAGAGCTGCAGAGTTACTGCACTGCAAAAACACAAAGACTGCCAGCAAGTTTTGTAGAGAAAATATCTGAAAATGTATATGAAATAAGACAAAACTAAGTTATTCAGCGAGAAATGTAAGTTTGATTTCAGTCAATAAACTGATTTAAAAAGTTCTAATTCCACCAGCAGATTATTTTACTCACATTTTCCTTGTTATAAGTGGAATAATCTGCATTTTAACATTAAGGATTATTGACTGAAATCAAGTTATTATTTCTTACTGTTAGTTTCAGATATTTGCTCTACAAACTAAACAATATCTGGTAAAAAAAAAAAAAAAAAAAAAAAAGAACTGTGTAGTATGGTAAAATAATTCCTTATCTTGATGTTTTAACAGTTTGAAAGTTCCAGTCCTTGTCTCTTCCGAGTCTCTTTACTTTCTGTCCGTCCTTCAATCTTCCCTTCATCTTTTGTCTGTTTTTCTGGGATCTACTGTCCTTTTTTCCTTTCCTCTTTCCTTCCTTGTGTCCTCCTTTGCTTCCTTCCATCCATGTTTTCCTCCTTTCATTCATTCCTTTTAGTTTCTGCCTGGTTTCTCTAAATATCCAGGGTTTTTTGTGTTTTTCTGCAGCAGGACTTTTTGTCTCTCCCAGATTTAAACCAAGTTAAACTCTGAACCGTTTCCTGTTTTCGCCGCCCATCTCGACTGATGCTGTAACTCAGTTGCATCTTTTTTATTTGTATTTTGAAAAGGTTTGTTGCTTTCCTCTGCAGCATCTCCTTCCAGAGCTGGACACTGCAGAGTCCCAGAGAACCAGAGCGTTCGTCAGCTGGCTCAGGGACCAGCGGCCGTTCTTCCCCTCCCTCCACATCATCAGGTGGGTTTTGTTTTACAATCATTCAAACAAACTTTCTGCTTTTATTCATAAAGTCTTGGACCTCTCTTGTTCTAACTGCCATAAACTGCAGTTAGTCAGTCAGACATTTTACGCATGAATCTGAAAACCTTTTAGGTTTTTTTAAGTCTTTACCCAGATTGCAATTAAAAATATCTTCAGTCAGTTTTAAAAATAGAAACTGGATTTTAAATGTGTATAAATTTCACACAGAATTATACACAAAACTAAACTCAGGATTCCTGCTGACATTTGGCTAGAAAATGTCTTGGATGTCAAAACTCGATAAACTGGAGAAAAGATTGATAGTCTGTCAAAAGATGAATCTGTTTGGTGGAAAACAGTCTCAAAAAATTGGACCTCCAGTCCAAGTCGGCCATTATGTTTCAGCTGCTGTAGAAAGTGGAAAATTATAACAAGATATTAATAACGGCTAATAGTGAATTTGTCTCATTTATATCTCCAAAGTTTTATGGTAAAGTATAAGAAGGAGGCATTCACAGGAGTAGTGTTGTCCCTAAAAGCCTGATGGTTTCACTTTGACTGTGTTGTTGGATCAAAGCTCCATTGATCAGGAGTTTCTCTCTTCTGTTCGTTTTCTGCTCAGGGACGAGAGCCAGCTGAAGACCCACTTCCTGCAGAACATGATCGAAGACCGGACGGAGTCGGCGCTGTCCTACTACGAGTTCCTGCTCCACCTGCAGCAGCAAATCTCCAAATAATCAGCAGCGGGTCGGAGAAAGACGATCGCCGTGTGTATGCCTGCGTGTGTGTGTGTGTGTGTTAGGATGTGTGTGTGTGGGGCAGAAAGAGGCCGCTCTCCACACACCCTCCAGCTGCGATCCACCATCACCTCTAGAAAGTCCTGAGTGGAACGTCGGATCAGAACCTGCCGGGCGGAGGAACCGGACTCTGCCATCTCTCTGGGCGTCGGCGGCTGGAGTCCATGTTGATCATAATGGCGTTTATCGAATGAATCAGTGTTTCTTTTCCTCAGAACTGTCGAAGCGAGGCGTCGATCAGATGGAGGACCGGCGGTCTCCAGCGTTTCTGTTCAAAAAGCACATTTTGTCTTCACTAACAAATCAAACTCGTCTTCTTCATGTGAGAGAATCTGCTTTAGGAGGCGGCTGAGCCTCAACGTACCTGAAGGAGAGTGTGTTTCTTTTTCCCTTTTCAAGTCATTATAATTGTTGAACAAAGCAAAGACTCTGAACCTGGAGACGGACGGACCCGGCTGTCTGGGCCCGGCTGTCTGGACCCGGCTGTCTGGGCCCAGTGGCGGGGAAAAGGTCCGGTCGGTCAGATCTCACCTCCAGAAACTCGTCCGCCATCTTTTCTCTCTGGACTTTTCAGAACCTCTGATCTGTTTTTCTTTACTTTCTGACTTCTGTTTAATTTATGAGACCCAATCTGATTAAATTCTATAATTGCCTTGTATGGGAACTCACTTTTTATTATTAAACCTCTGTTTAAATACTGACTCTATATATGAAATATTTTAATATAATAGGATTTGGGAAATCTTTAACACAGGCGTGACGAAGCCATTCTGATCTTTTAATCTGCTTATTGATACTTGTATATTGAACAGACTGCATTATGTAAAGGAGAAGAAATGCTGATGATTTTAGTATGAATAAGTTGAAATGGTTGCTAAGAAAATAAACAGTTTGGGACTTTTTACATGTAGTTTGTGTTTTAGTTTAACAATTACGTTTATTGTGGAGTTATAAGTTCCAGGTTCATTGAAATGCAGTTTATATGCTACCTTAGATGATCTGGAGTTATAAAAATAAAATGGAAATGGCTTTGAATTTAAAGATCTTCATGTCAAACAGATCCTTTCGGATCACTGATCTGGGTCGGGGTACCTGCAGATCCTGAATGAATACATGAAAACTTCCTGGACCTCCAGAGTAACTATGCTCTGAAATAAGATCTCTGAGTAATGAAAGTCCATTCAGTTTTCTGGTGAGCAGCAAATGCAGATTCATGTATTTATTCACCATTTCCTGGGAATTATGAAGCTCTTGGAGCCAAAACAATAATTACTCTTCAAGCTTTTCCAAAGCCAGTCATTCATACATTTTCTGTTTTTGTTTCAGGTGTTATTGTTTTTGCAGGTCATACTGGCTGAAGTTATATCTGTGTTGAACTGCAGCAGGATGAGAATCATTGAGTCCAAACTGCGGGACATGCAGGCGCAGAGAAAACTGGGCTTCGTCACAGAAACAGGAAGGGCGGCATGTCACGTGTTCTCCGCGACCCTCATCACTGCCTTGTAATGCGCATGCGCACCGGAAGCGGCACCAGAAAGCGCAGCTGCGTTCAAGTTGCTCCGCTGGGAAGGAACTTCCAAAGCTCCGATTTCCCAGTTAAATACGGAGAAACGAGAGTAAAAGCTGAGGCTGACTTCACGTCACGGCCGCTGCTCACATCAACAGGCTGTTTAATTATACGAGACAAACCGTCTAAAATCCCTATTATTGTTGCTCCTTCAACTATTGACTGAACAAATTGAAAGTAGTGCTTGGATGCGCAACTTCATGCTTAAACTGTTTGGAACAGGTGCCGCACACACACGGTCAGGGTTGAACCCGGGTCTGACGTCACACCACGCTGATTCACGCGCATTTCCCAGGTATCTTGAACGCAGCATACCGACAGTATGCATCAGTGTGCATGTTTGCAAACTGACGCAAAGTTAAGAACAACAAACGTTTTCTGCTGCTGGTACAACTTTGGTTATTTTCTGTTTATCTTCGGTAGGAATTTATGATTTGTGTATCGAGTTTAGTGTTTTATTATTTTTGTGTTTCTCCCTGGCAATCTAATTTTTAAGATGCACAATTTATTTTCCACAATGTATTTTGCCAAATAATCCCGAAAGCAGTATTTCCATGTAGTGGTGGGGCATTTTGAACATTTTATGAATTGTCTTTATTTCATTTTTTCATCTTGTGTAAAGGTTGTGATTTTTAAGAGGCTCTTGATGAGGCTCTTTGGTAAACGAGCCTCATCTGAACGCGTCTTACACTTAATGAATAATGATGAAGATCCATCGCCTCCTGAGTTGAAGGTAATGGGATTCTCCTCCTGGTGTCTCACCTAAAACAATAAAAATGAAAAATAAAATAAAAAGTTGTTTTCTGTGCTGGAGGCTGTGACCCTAACCCTAACCCCCTAACCCTAACATGGCAGCAAGTGTCATTTATGAAAGTTGGTTGTTTTTCAGAGAAAAAGGAAAGTAAAGAAAATGTACAACCAACGTAATTATGGCAGGCAGTTTTAACATAAAATCGGATGAGTCTGACTATTTGCAACCATAATCGTAATTACATTATAGATATAATGTAATGATCAAAACTACAATGAAATGTATTTCTAACTTAATTTGTCATAATTACGTCAGAGATATCTTAAATGATAATAACAGATTTGTCCCATTAGATAAGTCATTTGGGATTTTTTGAAACGAATTTTGATTCGTCAAAATATAAGTAAAGATATTTTGAACTATTATTGTTACCTGTCAGAATGTAAAGACAGATATCTTAAATTAACATTCAGAGATCAGAGCAGAGATCAGACCTGAGATCAGAGATCAGAGCAGAGATCAGAGATCAGACCTGAGATCAGAGCAGAGATCAGATCAGAGATCAGACCTGAGATCGGAGATCAGAGCTGTGGTGGTGGATGTGTGATGAACTACGGAGCAGAAAGCTGAAGTCTTTCTCCCTTCATCCTGTGGTGCCTCAAATTACTTCAATCGATGGTAGCCACACAGGCTCACCCGCTATAGGAAACAAACGCACCCAGTACAACACTCTCATCCTATTGGCTGAGAGGTTGCCAGGTGAGCAGAGAGGTTTGCTGGCGAGAGGACAAAGGTTTGAGAATATTAGAAGGAGAGCAGAAGTCAAGATGATCCTGCTTTCAAGCTGAAAATGTGGGCTCTGGACTTACAGCAGCAACATTTCCTCATATCATCAGCGAACACTTTTAACATCTTAAGTGTCCAGAAATGCGAAGAAAAGCCATTTGAAGGATGAAACCTTTCAAATGCTTAAAGATTTGTTAAAAACTAATCTGATATTTTTCTGTTATTTAAATACCTGCTACAGTTTTACACATTGTGTCGACTTTTGCAAAATGTGCAAAGATCGACAGATTTTGCAAAGTGTCGACCTTTTTCCAAGAAGAAAACCATGACAGCCATTGAGGACGTGGCGCTCTGATCGGCGTGGCTGTCCTTGGAGCTGCTGCAGCTGCTGCAGCTACTGCTGCTGCTGTCAGCTGGAGAAAAATTTAAAAAGGAGCTGAATCTGCAGAGGAACATCAGATGGAAGATGAGCAAATTTAATTTCTCTGTAGTTTTAGGCAGCGGTTGAGATTTGTCTTATTTTTTCCACCAGAACCTGAAAAATGAGCCACTATTTGCTTAAATGATGTTCATATCAAGCTTGCCTAACCTAACTAGCAGAATTTTTTTGTTTATAGATCCGAGAGGATTTATGGTTGAGGTGTTCTGTGTTTTCAGGCATGTTTGCCATTTTATAGCAGAATCCAGTAATTACGCTGAATTCAGTTCTTATAATAATGCTGTGTATGGAAATCCCATCAGTTTTTTTTTTTTATCAAATGCTGGGATTTGATTGGCTTAAAAACATTAGGCAAAATGAAAAATTTTATTCACTTTTTATTTACATGAAAAAGAATCAAAGCAAAATGCCAGGTATGTTTCTTATAATAACATAACATGATGTAAAGCTGAAACTCCCCTTAATTCTCTAAAAGTAGAAGAATGTAGTATTAAAGTGTTCAGAAGTCAAATTCACAAGTAAACCTGTAAAATATATCCCTAGTCAAGTGAAACAATGGAGATAGTAACTCAAACCTCAATGGGATTAATTTGATAATTCGTCGAGCTTTTGTTTCTTTGCAACTCTTAAAATGTAGCTGTAAATATTTATGTTTTTTATTACAGGTGTACTGCAGATAATGTAATGGATGTTCAAACTAACTGAAACATGCAGAGCTTCATACACTGAAACACTCATCTGCTTCAATATGCAGACTGCTGATGCTGTATTGCAACTTGTTTGTTTCATGACTTATTGATTTAATGTATAGCTTGCTTTGATTGAATTGTGAAATCATTGAAACATGGAAGTTACAGAAAGGTATCTTTTTTCATAAACTGTAATACTGTAAACAGAACAGCAGTTTTGTTTTTATTTGGTTTGTCTAGCTATTGCAGGGGAGGCAAAAATAAAATGTGTTTAAAAATGTTGACTATCAAATGAGCATTTTTATGGCTATTTGTCTCCATAGTTTTTGAAAAACATGCAGTAAAGCAAAGAAATGATGACACTTGAATCAGTTTTTGGTCACAATTAAACAAGAACAAGAAACAGTAAAATTATGACATAAAACCTGGGAAAATAAAAATGGTTTCAAAAATCTTCCAGTCAGCAAAACTAAACGGACTCATATTAATCGTTTTCTGTTTTTTCTGGGTTTTTATCCGCTGAAAGCCTTCAGGCATCCTTCAGGCAGATGTTCCTGTGAGGCAGCGTTCAGGGAAAAACAACAACTTCCTGCGTCAGTCCCGTTGTCTCCTTTTGATGACGTCATCCCCGTGCGCTCGGCCCTCCATTCTGTGGCGCTTTCCGTGAGGGATTAAGCCGTTAGAAGCCTTTGTTGCGCCCGCAGCGCGGCTCGGCTCCTGCGCTGTGACCGGGAGGAGGCGGCTGGTGCTGGGCATGGAGGCCGCGGAGGAGAAGGCGGGCTCCATGTCTGCGGCTCAGCTCCGGGCGGAGAAACGCAGGAGGAAACTGCTGCTCAACTCGGAGGACAGAATGAACAGAATCGTCGGATACACGAAAAACGAGCCGGATCACAGCGGTAGGCTGATCAATGATCGTTTTTAAAACGCTTTGGACGATAAAATGCATCAGAAATTAAACCTGTATCTGACCTGTCCACACCTGGATTAGTAGGAAGAAGGAAAACGTTTTTAATCACTAAACAGATTCTGCAAGTGAAATGAACTGAAACGTGAACCAGGGCCGGACGGAGGAGGATTAGGGCCCCTGGGCTACAGATGGTTTTGGTGCCCCATCAAAACAAAAGAAGCATTCCCCCCCCCCACGCTTTACAGTAAAGGGTAGAAATATACATCAGCAGGTCGCTCCAAGTTAGTGCAACACCTTGAAATCATCAGTAAGCATTTTAATGGCTAGAGGTCAACAGCATCTGACCTTTAGTCTGAGATTTATAGCAAAGGATGCATCTGCAGCTAAAACATCCTTCTAACAGGGAAAGGCTGAAGTCAGTACAGTGCAGAGATGATCTGGAGATTATTTTTATTCATAATCGGATAGTAAAAGGAGATAAAAAGATTTTTTCAAACAGAGTTTGAACCAGAGAAAACAAAAACCAACCTAGTTGAGGAGTTCTGGACAGAACATGTTCTGTTTTTAGAGTCTATACTCCAGTTAACTATTAGTGGATGATTATTTGAATAATGAGTTCATCACATTTACAAAGAATTGAATCATATTTTTCATCTTGTAAAATGTTGAGTTTTTTGCCATGTAGGGTTGCAATCAAAAAAATCAACAAAGTCCAGAAGTTATAGATCTCTTATTCGTTTTATCTTTTTGTTCAAAAACATTTCCATCCAGTTACAGCATGACAGGTTCACACACAAGAGGGAGAGACCCTTCTGATCTAACACACCTGCCTTTTAAAGCATTGGCTCTTCCTTGACTAATTAAGGGGTGGAGTCAACATTTACAAGTAAAAAAAAAACATTTGTACTACACTATATTCCTAGAAAGAAATTTACATTTCAACTAACAATCTTCAAACTAAAACAAAAACAATCTGGGCCCCAAATTAAATCCAAAAACATCTCCCCTCTCTCTCAAACAACAGATTCTGAGGTTGATTGAAAACATCAGGTCCTTGTCAGCACTGCTCATGGGCGCGCCTCCATGGCAACACCTGACCAGGTGACCTCAAAGAGAAGAAAAATGATTAAAACAAAAACACCAAACAAAGCAAGTTGCTTCCTCCAAACAAAATACAGTTAATAAATAAATTGGAATATAGCAGCACAAACACATCACCTTTTAGGGAGGGGTAAATCCCTCACATGCCATTACAGGTGAAAAAAGTTAAATTGTCTCCATTCGTGTTGCTGTCTGCAGCAGCCGGCCTGCGACCCGCCGAGCCGCGCTTCCACCTGGACCTGGACAGGTCAGAGCCGTGGTCCTCGCCTTCGCCCAGGCCGTCTCCCTTCCTGTCGGAGGCGCCAGGCGCCCGCTCCCACACCGCCACGCCCGAGAGGCGGGGCTCCCCGCTGCCGGACTTCGGCCAGCCTCGCAGAGCGTCTCTGGAGGGCGACGTGGGCGGCCTGCGCCACAGAGCGAAGGCGGAGCGGCCGTCAGACGAGGCCGGCGGCTCGCCACGCCGAGGCCTGCACCAGTACTTGTCTCGCTTTGATGACGCCATGAAGCTTCGGAGCCAGCTGGCCAATGAGAAGCCGGAGCAGGACGGCGGTTCTGACGTGGAGGAGTTCGATCCGTTTCGGGTCTTCAGGCTCGTCGGCAGCGTCCTCCTCGCTGTTTTCGTCAGAGTTTTTGTCTGCAAGTACCTGGTGGGTCAGCCTGCTGCAAACATGGAGCTCCAGGATCCAGCTTATGATTTTATCAACTCTCAGGGTTTTTAATACGATGCATGTTGAGGGCCACACTAGTGAAGAGATAAAAAATGAAAACACAAGAAGAAAGCCATAATATCACAGGAATAAAGACGTAGTAATATGAGAATAAAGTCATAACATTGTCATAATTTAACTTTTTGCATTTTCTAATGCTGCATTGATGCACAGAAAAACTCATTTTCTCCTGTTTTTTTCTCCTCCAGTCAATATTTGCTCCATTTCTGACCCTTGAACTCGCCTACATGGGATTGTCAAAATACTTCCCAAAGGTAAAGTCACTTTTTAATGTTTTCTTTTAACTAAATGTAAATAATACATAATTGAACCTCATGGTAGGTCAGGTAGTTTATCACCACTAAACTGGAATATCATAAATGAAAGAATTTCCACATTTCTTATGACAAATTTAAGTTAAACTTAAGATTTTCTGAGGAAATGAAGAAAATAAAAAATCTGTGATCAAAACGTTTTGTTTAATGTAATTTTGTTTATTCAAAACAAATCCAATTTATTTTAAATTAATCTGAAAATACACAACAAACAAAATTACACCAACATATTTGAGTCACACAGACAGATTAAAAACTTTTGAGTCAGTTTTAGCTTTCAATTCTCTTAACGTTAGTTTTCTCTGAATGACTCTTTAAACATATTTTTCAGTTTGTTGATCAACTGCAGGATATTTTTCTGCTCCTTCAGGTGGAGAAGAAAACCAAAACCACAGTTCTGACGGCCGCCCTGCTGCTGTCCGGCATCCCGGCCGAAGTCATCAGCCGCTCCATGGACACGTACCGCAGGATGGGCGACGTCTTCTCTGACCTCTGCGTCTACTTCTTCACCTTCATCATCTCCCACGAGATCCTGACGCTCTTCGGCTCAGAGACGCCCTGACAGAACAAAACCACACCTCCTTCTTCTTCCCTCCTCATGCCGATGAGGCTTACTCGTTTGCGCCCCTGGTGTTTACATTCTGCTGCCTTATGTTGAGGCTGCACCCTGGATCAGAGCTCTTCAGCTCTAATCAGTCCAATGTTCAAACCTGCATGTTGATTTCACTGCTAACAGAAACTTTGGAACAGGTTTCACGTTTTGATTTTGTTTACATACCAGATCCATGTTTATTAAAACCAATATTTCAGGCACAGAACACTGAAAAAAACACAATCTTACCTAGTATTTTCATCTAGTTTCCAGTACAAATATTTTAATAAACTTGAATTAATACAAAACTAACTTACTAGTAAGTTTTCAGTAGCTTGTTTTGAGTAAATGTTCACTTGATTTTGATGAAAACATTCCAGGTCCACTGGCAGATTATTTAACTTAAAACATAAGAATTTCCCTTGAGGGCAATAAAGCAATTTGAACTATAAATGATCGTCATTGTTAGTTATTAGAAACAAACAGATGCTGCACTGCAAAAACACTAAATCTTATCAAGTAGATTTCTCTGGTTTCTAGAGCAAATATCTGGATCCTTGAAATAAGACAAAGCTAGCAATAAACTGCGGCTTATTTTAGGTTAATCCTAAATATTGATTTTAAAACGATGTTATTTCCACTGGCAGATTATTTCACTTATAACATTAAAAAATGTCTTTTTATAAGAGAAATAATCTGTCAGTGGAACCAGAACATTTCATTGATATTTAGGAATTATTAACTTAAAACAAACTTTTATATCTGCTGAAATGTGACAAAACAAACCCAATTTATGAGTTAGACAAAACTAACTTTTCATCACTTGTAAGTTAGTTTTGTCTAATTTTAAACGTAGTAAGATATGTGCACCGGAAACTAGAGAAAAATACTTGGTGAGATTTTGTGTTTTTGCAGTGACTGAGTTTAATGGGAGCTCATTAAAGGATTAAAATCATAAATAACAGACAGAAGGCGTGACATGGTCTTCAGAGAATATTCTACTGTTACATTAAAGGGGAAATATGACCATTTTATGATTTATAATTTGTTGCATAAACCATTTCATTAGAAACTGGTGGGGCGGCCATTTTACTTGGAGAAATGTGTCATTATTTTAATCTGTTAGTCGAGGAATAAATGAGCTGAAATACTTTGCGCTGTCTTCATGCTTAGCATAACGTTAGTAAAGAATGTGGAAGAAATGAAGGAAATTAGATCTGACTCTATGATCTGTTATTGTTTACTTCAGCATTAAAACCAGAGGGACGTTTTCTGTTTGGGTCATTTTCGCTCCATCCTTCAGTTTAAAGCCATTAAAAGCAGTCGGTTCATTGGTGAATGTAAAATATGCGTCAGCATGATGAACAAGGTTTTCTGTTTCTGACTAAGCATTTTGCTGTGAAACATATGAACATAAAGTGAGTGTTGCATTGTGTGTTTGTGAGCATAAAGTTCCATGTTTGGTGAACTGGTGGGTTTTGTGAACTTCCTTCAAGCTTTTTGTACAGTATTTTCTCTGCTGTCCTTGCTCCTATTTAATCCTAAATTAATTTATTAGTGCTGTTTTTTTCATGTAAATGCATTGGTGTGATTTATTCTACAGCTTATCTGCTCTTTCCTATTTTTTGATCAATTTACTTAGACAGTTTTTAATGGTTGTTGTTTTGCTGAGATTGTGTAAAAGCGATGTTTCAAACTGAACAACTCATACCAAATAAATGACCCCTTGTCTGACTTATTCTCTAATTTTCTGTTACTTGTCTAATTTAGGGAATGAACTGAGATTAATGGGGTTCTAGCAACACTTTATAAATTTATTCTTCATCTTGACGATGGCTTGCAGGTCATGAAAAACCAAATATCTGATCAGAAAATTAGAATATTTGAATAAAGTTCAATACTGGAAACTCATGGTGTCATTTGTTTATAACTGCCTTATATTCATAATAACTAACCACTTTCCATCACTTTTCTTTATTAAACCACTGCAGTGTAATGCTTCCTGCTTCTTATTCTATATTCCTCATAAAACACTTTGAACTGCCTTATTGCTGTGATATGCAGTAAAAATAAACTTGCCTTGTGTTACATTTACGCTTAAAATGTTGAATCCTCGTGTAAATCCAGAAAAGTTTTGGGTTTTCATTATTTGTAAATCATTATAATTAAAATGAAAAGGAACAAAGGCTTGGGTGAAGATGATGAAAATGTACATTTGTAATTTGCCAAATAAAATAATTAGATTAATTGCCAGTCTTGTGCCTGCTTTAGTATTCATATCATTAAAACCATAAATAATATGCTCATATTTGAGAGAAAATGCGACAAATTTTCATTGTTGCATTCTTTCCAAAATCTTCTTGTTATATGACAAATCCAGAAGAAATGACTGATTGTTTCTTGATGCTTTTTGCATAACTCAGTTGTCTATAGTTTTAATACATTTGATACTGTATTGACTAGTTGGATAAAATCTGTGTAACAGTGTAAAGGAGACATCTCTTATTTGGCTATTTATCTAAATTTCTGATTAAATGTCCAGACCTTTTCCCACAGTAAATCAGGAATAAATCTGCCGATGTTTTTTACGGCCTCCGAACACGAGGGGGCGCTCGCTCTATTTTTACCACATGCTTGTCGCAGGTTTCATACGTTTCTGCGACACAAACAAACCATCGTCTGCATTCGATACGCATTAGTTCCTTTAAATCAATTTGACCTTCATCTAGTGAAACTGAGTCGGAATGGGTCGTGAGTCCAGGCGAGTCTACACATTTCTTGCCTAATTAATGTTTTAATCGTTGAATTGGCTTATGTAATTGCGGTTTTATGTATATGCATTAGCATGCTAGCTAAAGCGGATGTTGTTGCACGTTCTCTAGCTATCAAACTCTTGCTGCTTAATATTAGGCAAGTTATGATTGTCTTTGGAAGTGAAGCCGTTTGTCATGTTGCTCCTGCGCCAACAGACACTACAGGAAGCGGTCAGCGTCCCGCGGCCGGTCGGGCACCCGGTCCAAGAGTCGCTCCCCGGACAACAAGCGCTCAAAGAAAGAGGACCGAGACCGCAGCAGGCGGGACCGGTCCCGGAGCAGAGACCGCCGGAGGTCCCGGTCCAGAGACAGGAAAAGAGCCCGGTACGTTCCGGCCACAAAATCCACTTTAAGATTCATGTTTGTCACAAAACGTAAAGTTTATGTGACTTTCAGGTTCTGTATGCAGAATTTTGTTTTGTTCGAGTTTATGTTGGTTTTATTTCTATATATTCAGTAATTCGTTACAGTTTGGTTAACTGAATATACTTCTGAGTACTTTATTCATTTTTCAAAGAATTTACTGCAGTTTAACTTTAAAAGTCAGTGTGATTTTTCAAAACGTTTGCTATATTTGAATCAAGTCTAATCTAATAGTTTCTTTAATAATCAAAGTTTAGGAAATAAAGAGTAGACATGTAGACCAAACAAATTACACAGTAAAATGTAAGTCATAAATGTAAGTAAAATGCACAAAAAGTTTACATCTATTTGAGTAATTATGCAGATAAACTGTAAATTAATGCTTAATGTTAAAAGTTGTGAAACTAGACTGTACAAAAATAAAAATGTATTTGTAAAACACGCCCCTTTCTTTTGAAGTTAAAAAGTGTCATATTGGATTATAAATGCAATCAAAACTTCAGACAAAATTTTTTTAATTATGAGTAAAATAGGAAGTCATAAAATAACAGTTAAAAATGTTTTCAGTGCAATGAAAGTGAAATCATTTCACTTTTAATGACCGTGATAAAAAGTGAATATTTTTTAAAATGCTGATAGTTTGCAGTATTATTAGACGGAGGCTATTCCTCCTGACCTCTGCAAACTGAGGAGCAGAAAATCAACGACATGTTGAATTCCACCTTTGATGGAAAGAAAATCTGTTTAAATTAACAGCAGTATGAGAGCAGCTGCCTTCATGTGGTATATTTTATTTCTTATCTGATTTCTCTGACCCTGTGACTGTGTCCGGTGACCAGGCGGTCCCGGAGCAGAGACCGCAGGAGGTCCAGAAGCCGGGAGAGGAAGAGATCGCGCAGCCGGAGTCGAACTCGCAGGTCCCGAACTGGCAGCCCGGCAAAGAGCAAGAAGTCAGATGAAAAGTGAGTTTTTAATTTTCTGGGACAGAAAAGCTCGCAGCGTTTCATTCCTCCAGGCTGCTGGAAACATTTCATCCCAACTGGTTTCCAGTCCTAGCAATTACTGATAAGAAATCAATCAATTAAAAGCTCAATAATGTTCATTCTGATGAAGATTCATTTTGCCTAGACAGACATTATAATCCATGTTATTTATGGTTTCTGTTTCATTCATTGGTTTTCATTATTATGTTTAATTTTGCATATTTAAAATAATTTCCTGTTCAGTATAAAAACGTTTTACAATAAAGGTTTGAGATGGTGAACTTGCATTAATGTGCCATTATCATCATGTTCCAAAACAACAATATTATATTTATTTTACCTGTCAGTAAAATATTTTGATGCATCATGAGATAAATCAGAGATGCTCAAATCTGACTGTAGTTTGATTCTAATCCTCATTTTGGGTGGAAAACTTTACAACATTAGAGATTAAGGAACTTGCATAACACCAATCTGTTGATGTGAATTTTTCACACTTCAATTTAGTAGATTACTTAATATCATATATTATTTTAAATATTAACTTACAAAGAGACTTGAAATGGTTCAATAAAGGAGAGAAAGAAAGCCATCAAAACTGCAGATGTGCCATAAAAGTGATGAATTTTAAAGAAACTTGTGAAATTTGTCAAACTGCAATGTTGTTTTGTTTTCTTAGAGCCAAGAGCAAAGAAAAGGAAAAGGAGAGTGTCGAGCCAGTTTCCGAGAAGAAGAAGGTGAAAGAGGAGAAAGAAGATGAGAAGGTGGAGGACGTAAGTTCAAAAGTGTGTTTCCCAGATTTTATTGACCTCAGATGTTCCCCTCATGATGGCTG